CTTGAGGGAAAGCTCTCATCAGCTCAGCTTCACACACTTTTCTGAGAGTCTGTGCCTCCCTTGTTTGCACTACACTCATATATTTCTTACTTTGTGGTGTTCTTATTGTGCAAGAAGAGGACAACAATCCTCTCCAGAACCACAACTGCATCTTCCACCTTCTGATTGTCTCTATATTTCATCCCATTAGCTGTCATTAGTATGATATGACCACAGTGATCATAAGGGAGACAGACCATAAATTTTGTTTGTCTTTGCTGGGAAAAAACATCTCTTGATCCATGGGCTGGCCACTTCTGTAGTAAACAGTACAGAAAACAGCTTGGGCTCAATTTCCTTCCAGCTCATTCTGTTCTCATGATGAAAACTCTTCATGTCTTCTGTTTTACACCAGTCTGCACCTTGCCATTCATGGGCATGCAAAAACAAGTGATGGTATTGCACAAGACCATATCTTATTCAGCTGTGGACACTGTTTTAATTAATTTGGAAAAACATACACCACAATTGGCAAGACTGGTATTCCTTTGATTAAATCAATGATCTAGATTTTGGTCTGACTCCTGTTTTGCTGAAGTTGGGCAGATGTTAAATATAATGCATGTGACTATTAAATAGTGTTTCCTCTGTGTTCATGTGAGCACATGCATGTGGGGAACTGGCAAGTCTTCCTGACTTAAAAGACAAATGGAAAGCACTTGAGCTTGGGACAGCACAAGAAGAACTTGGAAAACTGGATGACCTTGTGAATGAGAGGGAAATTCTCTCTGCTGTGCTGTGAAGTATGGCCAGCCAGACTTAGGGAAACTTATCACACACACAGAGGGGAAAACAATCCATCACTCATTGCCTCAGCCATAATATTCATCTGAAAATCAAATATTTCACCAAATAACTGCTGATGTTGTTCTGTATAACCAAACTGCAGAAATATAGCCCTCAGAAGGCATGTCTGACACCAGGGGCTGCAGCAAATAAGGAAAATGCTGGTGGAAGATGCCCTACATCTGCCTAGAAACCTTCCAGCCCCACTGCAGCTCTTCCTGGCAGCAGTAATGTCCAAAATAAACCATGCTGAACATGAGGGAAAACTCACCAAGGTTGAGCAATACTCTGTGTTCATTGCAATCACATTCAACATCTGTCAGTGTCCTCAGCAGGCTACTGCAATGCAGCTTGCTGTGAGAGAAGCAGGGCTTGGGCTACCTCTGCCCCAGGGCTGCTTTGCTGCTCAGGTCCTCTTGGACTGGCATCTCTATTGGCAAAGTGAAATTACCTTGGTAAAATAAAAACACTTCTACTTTACCCTCAAAAGACAAGATTTTTCCAGCAGGAGCATTTATATCAGGGATGAGGAGAGCAGCATTGAGAGAGCCAAACCTCTGCTCCCAGCCCCAGGGTGACTGGGCAGCATCATGGGTGAGCTTCAGCTGGGCAAAGCCACAGAGAAAATGTTGGGGCTGTATCACATCACCCTCAGGCCAACACCACTGGGGATAACCACATCAGTGCTGGCCTTTCTGAAGTCCCACTGAAATACAAATATGAGTCCCTGTCCTCTCAGTAAGCAAAGGTCCAGGCTGCCTCTTTTGCCCCTTCCTTTGCAGGCCACTACTAAATTTCTTTGCTTGAAATAAAGTCCAGGACAACAGGGGGTAAAGTACTCTATAAAGACAGCCCTTGCTCTCTTCATTTCTCTGCACTTCCCATGCTTGGGACATCATCAGAAAATACCAAATTGTGGAGCTGGACTTCAGTATCAAAGCATGACATTTTTAAAGAACCAAATTTCTAAACCAAGCATTTAAAAAAAAATCACGTTGCATATATGAACCTTTTCCACTGAACTGTGCCCTGTATTCACAAAGCATATTTTCTCCTCCTCTAATCTCACTGCAATCAATCCTTAAATTATACTGGACACCTTCATCACCACATATAACATAAATATCAATTCTGTTAATTCTTTCTGTGTGGTCCAACTTCACAGAAACCTCACAGCAGTTATTATTATCATATTCCACAGTATCCAATCACTTCTCATTGCATTCACACATCCAAAAACCTGTCTCCCCCAGATCTCTGCAATATTGCCATGAGCCTGCAGTAAAAAATACTGCGCCCAACTGAAGAGAAAAGCAAAATATTTAGGTCAGCTCAGAATAAATCAAATTAAAATAAGAATCTGTTTTGCAGCCACGTTAAAAAATAATAATAATTCAGTGGAGGAAAAAAAGCATAACGCTTACTGTGATGTGCTGCTTAGGTAAGTTGGTAATGCAGGTATTTTGATGGAGAAACTAGGTCAAGTTTCTCTGAGACGTGGGCAAGGCCTCAGAGCTTGTTAAGCATTGTAGGAGTCTGTGGTGCTTCCAGGCGCTCTGGTGAGGCGAGGACACTGAGGCAGAGCTGTTTTCATGTGGGTGCTATGGCACACAGTGCTATCAGCTGGGAAAAAGGTCAACAGACCTTTAATTTGCATCTCTCCCTTCCCTGTCCCTGGGAAATCAGCTGCTGAGAACTGAGGTGAGGTGCCCTCAAAAAAGAACTAATTTGCATCTACTAAAGAGCAATAGAAAATGAATGAGGCTTTCAGAAATTCTCTGTTTGGGTCTCATGCTTCACCTGTTTAATCCAAAAAGTACATTCAGCATGTACAGCACCACAGGGCCCACAGTGAGATGAAACTCATCTTCTTCAAGTGAACCCAGATATGTCCAAAGGGCACAGACCAGGCAGGGCTGTTTCCTCTACCAAGGGCACCTGCCTCTCCCCTGATGAGAGACCATCCTGACACAATTTGGGAACTGGGACCATCCTGCACAGTCACAGGGCAGCACTGAGAATCCATCCCTGCCATCTTCAGCCCACCCAGAAACCACTCCCTGCCACCTTGAAGGAGAAGCTGGGTCACACTGAGAGCAGGAAAGGTGCCAGTGGTGTTTCCATTAGGCTGCACACCATGGCATGGCCAGAAAGAAAACACATTAGTTTCACACAAACGCCCTCTTCTGCTTTTCTCCACCGTGGCATCAGACTGCAGCATCCCACCCACTGGACCAGACCACACACAAGCAGCATGTCTTGCCATGGCATGCATGTTAAACAGGTCCAGAACACCAGTTCTTAAAAGAATGTGAGCTAGAGGACCCCAACTACTGTACTGTGACTCCAAAAGATGGAGAAGCAGACTGGCTGCCAGTTGTGCCAAAGACTCCTCATATTTTGCCCCTGCTAGTACCCATGGAGTCTGCCTTTTCCAGCCCATTTCAGGTGGCAATTGAAGGATCTACTCTTGCTTCAGCAGCTTCTCCATTGACAACTCACTGACACAGCTCTGCTTGTGATGAAACATTTCCAGACAAAAAGTCCTTCTTGACTCAACCCTCCTGACAGGAAAACAGAAGTAAGATCCTTCCCCATGTGTGTGACACATGACTCACCTTCACAGATCTCTTTCCCAGAATAAGGAGAAAAAAAAATAGGAAGTACAGCCAGAAGAAAACAGCAGAAACATATCAGAAAAACAAGAAAGCAATGAAGTAATAAAAAAACCTGCTACACAGAGCTTCTACAAATCTACAATATAATCATGGAGATTATAATGAAGAGGCTTTGGAAATACAGACAGCACAATGTGGTGTGAGTTAGTGCTTGCAAGAGGACAGCAAATCCAGGACAGCATCCAGGACACTGCTATTAGTGTGGGATCTGTCAGGCCACATTAACACTGCAAACATCTTAGTGACCTGCAAAAAGCATTTGCAAGAAGGTAAATGAATTTCTGAGCTTTGTGTCCTTGCTGTTTATATCCTGCTAGTCGCTAAGTCAAAGTCAGCTGAACAGCTCTGCCAAGCCCCAGCTGCCTCCCTGCAGCCCTCACGTGAGCAGCAGCCACAGCAGTCACATCTCCCCTGTACCACTGCCAGCAGTACATTAAAACTTTGCCCTTGGTTACCCAGGCACTTATTTGGAAAGGAAGGGTGGGAGTCATCTGAATACATGAAGAAAATACAAAATACAAAATACAGAGAAATGCATCCCAGACCATCACTGAGTTTCCTCTAGCAATGAAATGAGAGGAACCAGCACCTGGGGGCAATAATCTGCCCACCTTGGAGCAGGCAGCAGATCTAGGGGAACTTGGAGGGCTGATACCTCCCCAGTGGCAATGCAGGGAGGCCACCTGATAAGCCCAGGTGCAGATGGCAAAAAGGAGGGGACTATTTCCATTCCCACATGCTGGTACATGCTGCATGGTCCATTAGACCACTGACACCCACCCCAGGGTTTGGGGTGTCCCTGAATGAAGTAAATCACCAGATTTCCATTTAAATCAAAGACACAAAAGAATTGGGGAAATTGTAACATGCTTCCCAGCTGGTTAGATTTGGTCTGTTTTCATATTTTCCTAATTCTCTGGAATTAGCTTTTCCATTATTTAATTTCATGAACCAATGGGGTTTCCTCCCCTTTATGGAGGCTGGCAGGTTTGGGCCACCTGTTCAAAATCTGACATGAAAACCACCTGGATGACAGAAACAACAGTAGAAAGGACAGACTGCTCAGAAAGAACAGCAAAATAAAACCGCCTTCGCAGCCCCAAGATTTTCACACTTGTATTTGCAAAGATCAATTCCCTGGCCAGTTTCAGAATACTCAATAAGTAGAAAGGGTCCTTTTATCCCATACCAGAATTGAGCCCAGGTAAATGCCAGCTTATCAGGTCCTCCCTCCTTACCCCCTCTCTGAGGAGCCCACACTGAGTGAACTTGCCCCACTTGCTGTCCCACTGTGATCTTTTGGGCACCCCAGCAAGAGGGGAGAGAGAAGACTTCTGGTAGATTTGAAAAACAGAATATGTTGCATTTATGTCCATGAGAAGAACTGCTCACTAGACACAGTCCTGCTTGCCAGAAGAGGCAACAGCTTTTCTTCTAATGCCACCCCCATGTGGTTTGCACTGAAATCCCAAAGCATCCTCCTCCAGCAGCTGAGCAGACAAACCACAGCACAGCCACTTTCTCTCTCTGTGTTTCAGTTTTCCTCTTAGCAGAAGGGATAATAAAATTACCCAGCACTCAGGAATGTAGCTTTAATTCATTAATATCTATAAGTAGCTTACAGCTCCTCAGCCATAGGGAGCTCTGGGAATGCTAGTGGAAATGCTTTGCATCTTGTTGCTGTACTTCAACTTTCCAAATTTCCCTATTGCATCCACTGATTCCAATAATTTGAGCTCTGGATTTTCTGACTTGGCAAATTCGAATCAGCTTTTCTCAATGATTCTGTGAGTGAAAAGGTGCTCTTTGTCAGAGAGAGGAAATGGGGAGCAGCACTAGGCTCTCTGTATGCTGGGTGAGTCAGCCACAGTTTGTGCACCTGCTGTGACTTACAGACTGAATGCATGGACTGCACTCCGAGATGCTGGTGTTGCAAACAGATGGATTTTGTAAATCCTGTTAATGTTTCTATGTGTAAGAGCTTCCCAGCAGAAAAGGATCATGTCCACGTGAGTATCAGATCCACTTACCCTTATAAATTTTAGCATGGCAGATTCATTTTAGTCAGGCTGGAGATATAAACAGATTTATCGTAGAATGGGCACCTGGTTGTGTTTGTGAGAATGGTGACTTTCAGGAAATTAAATTTTAAATTAGCTGCTCTAAGCTGTAAGAAGAGGAGAAATGTGTGCCTCTACACACACTGGCTTGGGTGAGCTCAGTTCCACCATACTCCAGCAAAATACCCAGCCTGGAGACAGCACTGGGGTTGTGCATGCAAATGGCTTGTTCTGCTCTCTCTCAATCACAGGGTTTTATTCCAAAAAAGTTACTGGAATGTTTTGTTCTCATAAGGTTTAAGCAGCTTGGGCAGGGAAAATTGCATAACCCGTTTTCTAAGTTTCAGACTTTGACATGTACTGAGCTCCTTTTGCTTAGCTCATGTGTGGTTGCCTTTTGAATGGGACTAGAGAAGTAAACAAGGAAACTGAACTGGATAAGAAGGGAAAAAGAGTTCTGGGAGTTGCTGCTGCAAATGCAGGAGAAAGGGAAGTGGGAGGTAGCAGAAGCACAGCCTGTGTACACATAAAATTGCCAAAATCTCTCTATTCTCCTAGGCAAGGAGGCTGCAACGGGGTAGGGCACACACATGCCACACATCTGCTTGTGCATGCCATCACCTTCCAAGGGCACTGGTTGTTCTGGACTGGCCAAATATAGCAAAACAAGGGGGGAAAAAAAGTGGTGAAGGCTAACAAGCATCAGCGACCACAGCAGAATGCTCTTTGCCACCCCTGGAAGCAGCCTCTCTTGGCTGCCTCAGTGGTGGGTTTTAGCATGGCTGTGGTTTGGGAGGAGAAGGAAAAGGAGGAGGGAACTGCTAAAAAACTTGTCATTTTGGTATGTTTGTGAAGGGCCCCTAACACCAGGAGGGACTGAGGTGCTGGGGCAGGGATGTGGCAGTCCAGCTACAACCCCACCACCCGAGCTTAGAGACTGGCAGAAGGTGCACTTAGGACCTGGTGTCCAAGAGGCTGAACACAGCTCTCAGACCTGCCTGTGATTAGGGCACCATGACACTTTACTTCCCTGCATTGCTGGCATCATCAGTAATGGAATGCTAAAAACCCGCTGCAGACTGTAAATCCCTCACTGCTGTTACCGGAATTTATTATGTGGGCAATTAACATAGGCAATCCCATTACCACTGCTGGGATTTATCTGAGTAAATCTCACATGTGTTATTCTTCTACAAAAACAAGCCATCAACTTTTTGGCTTGGCCTAAGTTTCCAAAGATAAATGTCTCCCCTCATTCATTACTAACTACACAGCTTGTGGCCATGTGGCATGAGTATAAACAAACTGAACAAATGTCTAGTATGGGAAGGAATGAAATGTTAATGCAAAAAATTGATTTAGTGATCTCTTTGCAGGCAGTGAGATGGGTATTTCATTGCCAGGTCTGACTATGTAATATAGTAACTGTGTGATTAGCACTTAATGACCAGAGTTTGTTTCTTTTCCTTCCCAATCATTAAAGCCTTGTTGACTTGCTCAGAACATATCGATAGTTTCTGAATATATAGACAAGCAAATAAGAAAGCACAACAGCCTGCTCAGGCTATGTTTATTTCGCTGCACTGACACAAGCAGACCTTGGCTGATAGAGAGGTCTCTACCAGGGCCGGGCAGAGGACAAGGAAAAAGGGGATGAGGCACTTCCTGAGCTCTCAGTGCTGAGAAGTACCAAGTCACAAGACCACATCCATCCAGAGAAAGATGACTGAGGCTCTGCTGCTGTTAAATCTTGGGGTCAGCATCCCACAGAGCTGCTGAATACGCAGACAGCCTCCCTTCCTTTGCTCAGCTCACAGCCCTGAGCACAAACTTTGACTTCATGAGCCAGTCACAGCAAATCCTCACCTGCACAGGACCCAAAGCACTTCTCTTCCATTCTTGGCCACAAAAGTCTTGGCTTCCAAGGTGGTTTCCTGCTTCCCTCCCCCATTACTTTCTGCAGCATTTCAGAGATTCCAAGGCAAAGCTGCCCTTCATACAGAGCACCCAGTGTGTCTCTGCACCACATGTCCATATGCATTTTAGCACAGCTACTGCTATTATTTTGCTTTTGATGACATCTCCAGTCCTGAGAGATCTGATCTTTCACCACCATTCAGGCTGCTACAAGTGGTGCTCAAAGTGGGGCTCCTGAGTACCATGGCTGGGATTTTCAAAGGTAAATTTAAGGTATTTAAATGGGGTAGGTGCCTACCTCCTGAAGTTTTACAGGAAGAAAGCATGGCTAATTCCTTTTGTTATGACTGCTTTTAAGAAAAGAGGCTCTCTGCCCACAGTGTGCAGCAAGGATGCTCTCGTTCATGCTGTGAACTGACCTGTGTGAGTACATTTATGTTTCTGCTCATCACTTGGCCCAGGGCAAGATGTATGTAGGCTTTGTGCCAAAATCTCTGCAGAGATTCTTGTTCATATGGGAGAAAAAATCCCAAAACAGAACAAGCTATAGTTATGGATAAATATTCATCTGGCATTCAAGAGAAATGTAAAGATGCATCTCAAGTCAGTTTCCATCTGCTAGTGATGATCCCAAGCTCTGTTACTGGAAGCAAAACCCAACAAGCTAATTCATGCCTATTGCCTGCAATGCCAGAGAAAGCTGTTTCCTACCCAGGTCTGTGTTACCAGGCAAACTGTCTGCCTGAGTGATGGACTTCATTATGTGCAGGAGCTGTGCCAGGGCTTTGACTCTGCAGGTAGATGATGATCACAGCATGAGGGAGGGTGGCATGGTCGAAGGGATCAGCACATTGCTCCGGCTTTGTCTCCTTGCTCAGGGATGCTCCTGCTAATGTGCATGGATGGACAAGGCAGATCCCAATATATCAGTAAGGAACAGTGTTGTCATGTAACCTAGATATAAAAAATTATGCTTGGGCAAAAGGAAAAACCTAGAGGAACACCTTGTATTGGTAAACAAAACAGTCCAGGACAGTTTGAATCTTCTTAAGGGCAAGTGAAGTGATACATGTCTCACCATTGAACCCTCAAACCAGAACAGTTTCATCTTTGCTACCTGCTGGCCCCTGCTGTTCTCCCAGCTGTGCCACAGAATCTGTGGTAACAGTGGTTGGGATGGTCAAAAGCTTTAAGTCATTAATAATTATGGAGAGGGTCTCCAGCCAGTGCCCTGGCCCTGTTTAGGTCATTTGCCTATGTGTAGCCAAAGGGCCTGACTCAGGAGTCAAGCCCTTTGGACTAGGAAGTCTAAAGCTGGCTTTTCTCAGTGCTGTGCTGTGCTGAGGCTGTGAGTCTAATTTGGGAATTCCCAAAGGGACTTGAATTCCCCTGTAATTAGTAAGGGAGCCTGGAGCCCATGTACTGTCCCACTTACAGCCCACTCCCACTGGACAGGCAGAGGGCCCAGATGGCTGGTTTTGATATAAAACATGTTTCCCCTATTTTTGTCACTGCTTCCCTGTTACTTATGTGTTCACTTCACCCAGCTGTGGTTCTCTCCTCATTGCAGTCTGGCTGTGGCCATGACATCGATGAATCACAGCAGAGCCACAAATGCAGGGCTCAATACCTGAGTGCAAGCCACACACCCCACAGAGCAGTACCAATCAGTTACATAGAGCTGGAAACATGGCAAAGGAAATGGATAGAAATCTCCCTAAATCCAACTTCAAAAAACTGGAAAATAACTCACTGAAACCACTTTATCTCTGGGTTTGTATTTCCGATTGATACTGCTGTAGGTGGACATGTAAAAAAATTGTAGGTGTCCCACTGAATTAAATTTTGAGGGTTCTGATGATGTCATTTTACATTATAAATAGTGTCTGCCTAAAGCAGTTGAATTCATTCTTATAATGCTTTTTTTTTTTCCCCCTTAAAGTCATGGTGCCAAGTCCAATAAATTGGTAGGAGAACTCCCACTCGCTTCAGTAAATTTTGGATCAGATCCTGCAGGATTAGCCCACATGCACTTTGCAGAGCAGGGGCTTGCAGACAGCAGTGACAGATTGATGAGACCATTTCTGTGACCAAGCATTTGCCGACAGGGGTTAAGTTTCCATGGCCAAGCACTAACAGACTTATGCCATCATTTTAAAAGCCTCTGCATCCATTATGTTGAAAGTGAAATGAGCACATCTGGGTGCCTGGACATGAGAATGATTAATAAAGGGGGGAAAAAAGGCAGAATACTGAACAGGTAAAGTAAGGAGTATGGGACTGTTCTTCAAAGAGTTTGGAACATATCTGTGGGGTTTGTGGATCTGATGAGTGGCATGTGCTCTTGCACAAATGTCCTACACTGATAAAAGCCCAGGTCTTGATTCCCAGCTGAGGGCTGCTGTCAAAGCTGTACAGAAGTGCAGTTCCTGCTCACTTTGGTAGGAGCTCCCTATGCACAGCAGAGAGCACAGTGGGAGCAGTAGGACCCAGGTCAAAACTCCTAACGTGAGGAAATTGGGAGTTAAATCTAACAACTGGCTGCATGCACAGAAAGAGTTTAAATAAACATACTCCAGTGAGGGGACAGGCAATATGTTTGGAAATCTAGACAGACCCTTTCTGCCGTCTGTGTTTTGTTTCTGAGTCCAATGCTATGATAATGAATAAGCTGTTTGCTCTTTCAACTGTGTACCACATGATAGCTAGTTTCCATCCAAAAGCTTTGGCCCCTGCTTGTAAATTGATCCTGTAAAGTTAACTCCTTTGTTCAAGAGGTTAAGTATGTGATGTATCAAATGGGCTTTTTGTGGAAAAGCCCCAGAGCAATACACTTACTGAGCCACACATGTATTACAGAATAATTTGCAGTAAAGGTATGTGGAAGAGCAAAGATGGATCATACAAAAAAAATTTAGGCTCCAGTTCAAGAAAGAATCAGCTCAGAACAGAAGAGAATTTAAGTATAACTCCCACTGAAATATGGCTTCTAATCACATGTTTCAGGTCAAGAGTGTAGTTAATGCTCACTC